GTGTGTGTGAGACAGAGACAGAGACAGACTTTCTTACTGTATTGAACTTTGTGTGTGTGTGTGTGTGTGTACTCACTGTGCACTTGTTTCCCTGCCTGCTGTCCCTGTGTGTCTTGAACCTTTTGTGTGTGGGTGTGTTGCATGTGAGTTTTATTTCATTTGTCACTTTGCCTGATGCCTTCATGTGTAAATTGTGTGGAGGGTGTGTGTGTGTGTAGTAGTAGTTGTGAACTGTTTCCCTGTCTCCTGTCTCTTTGTGTGTGTGTGTGTGTGTGTGTGTGTGTAACCTAAACCTGTGGGTTGTGTAATTGGGTTTTCTGTGGTGTGTTTGTGTGTCTCTCTGACTGTATCTGAGAAAGAACATAAACATGTATTTTCCCGTGTGTATTGTGTGTGTGTGTATGAGTTATATGCCTGTGTCCTTGTCTACTGTCTTTCTTTGTATCCTGAACCTTTTTATCTGTGTGTTTTTGTGTGTGTCTCAGAAGGAGAAAAAGACCTTCCATATATCTGAAAGATAATCTGTTAATTTCCTTTCAGCACAACTAGAATCGTGTTTTGGTGTATCAATGTGTGTCTGTGCGTCTAGACTCCTGTGAGGGCCTGATGGTGAAGACTCTGGAGAAGGATGCCACCTATGAAATAGCCAAGCGCTCTCATAACTGGCTCAAGGTGTGTGTGCACACAGTCGTAACTCGCATAACAGTTCATTTAACTGTTCATAAACACAATTGTTCTCTTATGATACAAACACAGAAATGAGCACACACTTAGATTCAGACCAAATCAGGCGCTGCGGCGAAAACTGATGGTAGTACATTTAGGCTGCAGCAGTAGGCGAGACCGTAAAAAAAGCACAGCGGAGAAGTTGAAACGGCATCAACTTTTGGAGAAACACAACCGGACGCCACAGTGCTGTGGCCAATCCGGCGATCCGAAGATTCAAACTGCTGCACAGTCGGCCTAACATATCACTGATACAGGCGCTATCCAGACGGAGCTCATGGACCAAGCTTTAATGCGCTCCCAGTTGTATTCTTTTCCTTGTAACCGGCTTCAACGTGTTCGTCTGGTTTGCAGTCTGTGCTGCAAAATAACGATACTAAGGAAGCTGCCTTTGGTTTGTGTCCATTTGTTTGAGTGAAAAGGAGACAGACACAGCTGTGGTCAAGCTTAATAGACAGTGAATGAGAGAGCAAGAGCGCGCCCATAGTGAGAACACCGGTGAATGTGAGAAATAAAACATTATCCTAAAGCATAAATAAACAAACGGCCACAACACTTGATTCTGAATACAGCCGTATGCAACGTTGTATATGTATGAAGGTCTTTTCTGTAGGTTTAGTTGTTCCTTTAGTGCAAAATACAAATAATATGATCTTTTAAATCAGTTTACATGTTTTTACACATTGATTTCAGATTTCTGGAGGACAAGATCATTTTTAAGACTAATAGCTTGTCAGCATTTTCAGGCTGCAGTTTAGATCTTTCACTTCACATTGTTAATACACAACATTTAATTGTGACCTCTGGCATTTCATTTATGCAAAGATTAGTACCTTTTTTAGAGTCATAACTGATTACTGTTAACTGATTACTGATAACTGATTTGTTAATACTGAGATGCAGTTTTTGTTCATACGGTAATATCTCTCTCGCGCTGTTGTCCTCCCCTCAGCTGAAGAAGGACTACCTGGACGGGGTGGGCGACACGGTGGACTTGTGTGTGATTGGCGCCTACATGGGGAAAGGCAAGAGGACGGGCACCTATGGGGGCTTCCTGCTGGCCTGCTACGACGAAGACAACGAGGAGTTCCAGTCCGTGTGCAAGGTGTGTGTCTGTGCCGTGCAGGTTTTACATAAATACGTCTAACACACGGAGTTTCTTTCATTGTAGATATTTTAATGAAAACAGACAGAAGAAAATTCCTCTATTATTTCTCCTGAAGCATAAAAAGTGCAAACAAGATTTTCATGTTTAATGTTTTAGTTTTCAGAATAGTTGAGCTTACCAGTCTCTAACATAATGAAATGAACTTACCTCGCTACAAGCAGATCCACACCCACATAAACTAAAATGAAAAAAATAGTTAAAAGACAATCTCCTTAATTTCTTTATTCTCTGAAAATGTCAAACCTAAAGCTACACTTGCAGCATCATAAAAACAGCTTTATTGTGAGACCAACACATTTCTGCTCGCGGCCTTCATCTTTAAATATACGACAAGTGTTGCTGGAGTCTTTATTCTCTGAAAACCACAGGGCCGTTCAAACAGACATGTCACTTTTTAGTGTATTTCATTGGAAGGATGTTACCTGTACTGTATCTTTTGGATGAAGGTGTGCTTTGATGGGGCTGCATTATCAAATATAACAGTTCACGCTCACCTATGTGCTGTTATTCACAGCAAGGGAATAGTGCACACGTTTTAAATAGCAGTCCATTTCCAGAGCCGCAGGCCTCGGATTAAACACCTCCAGAGAAACAGCTTTTATATTTCTGGCCTGAACGTTTCAGGAAACAGTTGAACCCCGAAGTTCAAAATGTTAATCTGTAAGTGAATTTTGCCCTCTGGCATATATATAAAGCTGTTTATATATTTAAACATGTGACCTTTGGGAGGCTAAACTGATAAAAAATGCGTTAATAGTGTGAACAGTTTTCAGCTACAAGATGGCATAGTGTAACATAGTGTTTTTTTTTTGTCAACTAGTTTTCTGTTGTGCAAAATGCAGCTCTTGCTTTGTATTAAGGAGCTATATAGTGCTTTCTGTTCACGTCTGTTTTATAATGTGTATGTGCTGCAGGGTGTTTTATGTTTCTGCTGAGTGTTTTCTCTGTGCGTTTGTTGTATTTAGAGAGTGTGTGTGTGTGTGTTTGTGTGTCTGCTTTTGAACTGTCATTTTCCCCCTCAAATCTGAGTTGGAGGAAAATCTTTTTGTGTCTACAAGTGTGTGCAGAGGCGTGACTGGTGCATCTTAGGATAAGTGGTAAGCATGTATTGGAGCATGCGTGACGACTTGTGTGTACTTACATTTGTGTGTTTGTGCTAGAGTATGACTTCACCACGGTGCATACATTCTGTATCTTCTCTGTCCTGCAAAAACCTTCCATCTCCATCTTTTTTCTCTCCCTCCTTCTGTAACTTTTGTGTCTCTTTATCCATGGAATAAAGATTTAGTGAGCAGCGGACACACACAGTTTCTCGAGCACCGCCCGCTTCACTTTCATATACTTACACACATTCACACCTGGGAGCTTGATGGTGCAACCGCAGCGTTCTGCTGTCAGCCACTGAGCAGCTCCACTGGAGCCGACGCAGGTTAAAGCGCCCGTTGGATTACCGCGTTGACTTTTTCAGGCAGTGCTAGTGGTTTTTCTCTCTCAATATTTCTTCTATAAATAAAAGCTCATTGGAGAATGTTTTTTCACTCTTGAGATGACTATCCTGGATAAGTGAGGCGAGGATGGATGTTGCGTTTGAATTGCACAACAAAAGACACAACTTGCTGAGTAAAATGGGAAAAATGTCAGATGAAGAGCTTCTGCCTTTTGTCCTTTATTGATTTTCATATTAATCTTCCTTTGCTTTGATAGCTGCTAGCTCTGCTGTTTGGGAGCCAAGTAAGAGGGGTTTTTTTTGTCTTTTTTATTTATTTAAACAATGTTGTCATTTTTTTTTAAACTGTCTGCTCTAAACAAATGCTGACTGAGCTGCACAATTTAAGGATTCAGTCACACCGGTCAGTCAGTATGACCTGGTGCTTCCAATCACACCAGGTTTTTTTTATTAACTCTTGTTATTCACACTTTCAGCTCAGATCTTGGCCACATTAAGTCTCCAAATTTCCATTCTGAGGTGTCCTGGCTGGCATTGCTACTGATCTGAGCTGTGTGTGGATAACTTGGCAGTTACACCTTGTTCTTAAAGTTGTTTTGGTGCATCACCTCCCCCATGCACAGCAACTAAAGTAATATTCAGAAAGTACACAGAGACCTGCAGTCTTCAAAAATAAGACAAAAATAGTTCATTTCATAATGAAGTTGTGGGCAGACCACTATATTGCTGTACTTGAAACTGCAATAGTTTTGAGGTACTTGTACTTTACTTGAGTTTTTACATTTTAGACTACTTAATATTTCTACTCCACTAGAGAGAAATATTGTACTTTTTCCTCTGCTCTATTCTCCTGACACCTATAATTATTAGTCACTTTTGAAATGATTGAAATAGTGCTGCACGATATAGTAAAAAAAGTCATATTGCAATTATTTTGTCAGATATTGCGACTGCAATATGATTCATGATCAGTGTGGGGATTGATCATTTTTGCATCACAAATTTAATTTTCATTGAAATTATGATACTGTAAAATCTTTGGGGTCTGTACCAAACAAACATGGTTACGGCATCTCTGTATCACTATAGTACTTCATTATAAAGCTGTTTTGAATAATATTTTGCTTCCCTATATTGCGATTTCGATAATATTTCGATTAATTGTGCAGCCCTAGATTGAAATCAATTGTATTCATTAATATGATCAGTTTATACAGTGAAAGACTTGACAGAGCCAAGAGATTATGTGTATTTTGTCTATTTTGGAGTTTTCTGGATGAATTCCTTGATGATCGGCATCACTTAAACACAATAATAGTTCTGAAAGGTCTGTTTCCATGATAATATTAAGGTACTGCTGATTTGAGTAATTAAGAAAAGAAGAAATCTCTTCATATAAATGGTATAAAAGTCGTATCTATTTTAAAAGGTGTGTGTGGCACACCGGGCTGTCTAGCGGTTTAGGGTGTGTACCATGTGACTGAAGCGCCAGCAGTTCCCCTGTGCCGCTTGTCATCCATCTTTTTCTCTTTCACTATTCAGTGTCAGCCATAAAACAAAGGCAAAAACCCATAAAAATAATCCTGTTGTCCTTGACGTGTTCAACTTCAGGAACCCTCAGTTTCAGTAGCTAAAAGCAGAATTTAACCCACATTTCCATTTCCCAAATGTAATCTCAACTATACGTCCAGCTGAAATGTCCTTGAGCGAGACATGAGTCCTCAGCACATCCAGGAGCAGCGCTGCCGCCGAGCTGCCACTGTGAGGTTCACTCAGACACAGGTCACATAGACTCCCTGCACAGATAATAAGAGGAACACTATTGAAATGGAAAAGACAATTAGATTACGGTCACAGCAACAGCTTGTTATTTTGACTCTCAACATTACTTTGAATTCATAAATAACACATGGACTCACAAATGGTTCATTCATTGGATATTTTGGTCATTACTCGTACTAACACAGCGTTATATTAAAGGCTTTGGCATTGGAAGAAGCTGAATCATCAGACTAAATCCCACTTGAGCTAAACAAAATTTATTTATTTATAGTCCTGCCATATTTTACAGTCTCACTACTCTTGGTTTGCCTTTTTTATGCTTCTTTTTCCTAGCACGAGTATTGGTTCTGCCTGTAGCTTGATATTATGGGAGGCAGGAATGACATGAAGCAACAGGCCAAAATGTGATTCAGAGGCTGAAAACGCTGTGCAAAGTCATCCTGGATAACAAGTACTGAAACTTCCAACAGCGCTTAAAAATGCTTCTTCTCTGTTCTATGTGTAGGGCTGAGTATTGAAAGTCAATACTTGACTTGACTACCACCCAAAATATGTTTGTAAAATTGGTCATCAAACTGTCAGTAACAGTTCTCACTGTTGGTTCCCCTATTCTTTGATCAGATATTTCTTAACCTAAATCCTAACTTTTATTTTTTTAATTGCAATAAACTGATAAAAAAGGATGCCAAAATAACATCATGGTCGTGATTTGTAAAAAGTCACCGTTCATGCTTTGTCAGGTCTGTCCACGAGACAACAAGCAAACAACTTGTAAAATGCTTGTTTTCTGAATGAGTTTGGATTCAAGGCTATGTTAACTGGGTTCATACTGAACTCACCGGAGACTCCTGTTCTTTCTGTTATTCCCCTCTGCCCTCCTTACGTTCACGAGGTAAAGTACATTCCCCTCCAGTCATCAGTCAACATGGTCGAAGAAAGACTAATTACAGTACACCGGACAGTGGAGGTCGGCACCTCCATGGCTCGCTTCTGTAGACAGGTTGAGAAGCGAGAGTGAAGATAAATCCGCTTCTTTTTAATCCCTGAAGTTTAAATAGTTAACTCTTGAGCTCTCCTCCCGCCAGTGAATGGATCTACATCAGAGCAGAATCCGGTGAGACTCCGGGTGTTTATTCCCCTAGAAGCCATTGCTCAACAGCGGTCTGTCAGCAGAGTTTTCTGTATTTAGTGTGAAATAGCTGTTGTATATTCGGTCCTTACTCCAAACAAAATACACCACAGCTGGTTTGATAGAGTACTTGGCCTGGTCAGATAGATGAAACTGAATCCATAAAGGTGCCACAGTTGAATAAAACACCTTTGATGAAACATAAAGCTTCTGGTGGACACCTGCTGAATACACCTTTAAAATATATCTGTGAACTGGAAAATGCTATATTTGCATGATATACCAGCTTTTGTTCCCTTTCCCCTTTCTGTTCATGTCAGCCCGCTAGGTGATTCTTGTGTCTCAGCGGGTTCAGGTCTTTTGAGTGGTGACATGACGCTTCAGGCGAAGCAGGCAGACAAGGCGCTGGTGGTGTAGGGGGGGATTTGCTTGCTGTTCTGCTGCTCGCTGCCAAATGTCTGCTGTCTCACCATGAGGGAATATGTGTATGTGTATATCTGAGTGAGTGTGTGTGTCTTTCTTATCTCCTTTCGTCTCTTGCAGATCGGGACAGGCTTCAAGGATGAAGATCTGGAGCAGCATTACAAGTTCTTAAAGGTAAAGTGGCGTGGCGTGACGGTCGCACTTACTAGCTCGGTAAAAATCACAACTTGTTTTTCCCACATTGAAGCCTTCATTTTTTAAATTCATAACCTGGCTTTTTAATATTCTGCAGCCACAGGAACTTAATTTTTAAACCAAATCGGGGTCATTTTTGAGGTTAAAAGAGCCAGAATGAGTGTTGCTGAGGTCTTTGGAGGCCTTTCATTCGACAAATAATAATTCCCTCATTTAATTCTTCATTCATTCTATCTTTTCAGATATAAATTGAGATTTTCATACCCAAATGAGATGACTAGTGTGCAAATGTGCTTGTAAAATATACTCATATATTGCAATAATTTTGTAAGTGACGCCTCCAGGTTGCCAAAATGAGAAAAGTCATAGAAATAAGCTTGGGTATTACAGGAAATAAGTTTTTTCCTCCCCCAGGCTTGTCCACATCATGTCTAGTATACTAAACATCGCATATATCACCTAAAAGAAATTTCTGAAATATCAATACTTTGGCTTTAAAATATGTGTATTTGCTTGAAAATGTGTGGCTTTATTCTCTTCTTGAAAAATATTGGACAGAGATCATAAACTACTTCTGTTTCACCGATACAAATCTGCATTTGGTGTAACTGTGCAGGCTCTCTCTGAAGTTGGGTAATGAATTGCTTTTTCAATTTACATTTGAAGAGGTTCGTTCCAGAGCAGCAGAGCAGGAGCATTTGAAGAAATTGACAACTGCTCTCTGAAAATGATAGCGTTTGTGAGAGTCACAATTCATTGAAGTACTCTGTTGACTTTATTGGCTAAATTTAGACCTGCTTTTACAGAAATAAGAGCAGAGAGGCACTTAGATGCAGTCATTTGTTTATGAAAGGGACTAATTGTGAGAACATATGCACTGTACAAACCTGGGGCACACTGGAATCAACCTTAAAGTAATATTTCAAAGGTTAAGGGTTTAGACTCAGTGGTACAAACTGCTGCACAGTACAGAATCGCAGTGAAACACTGATTGAGAAGGCGGTGTAACCTTTTTTTCCCCCAGACCAATACAGTTTTGTAATGAAGCCCTCCATCTGAAAGTGATGGATGGTGAATTAAGGCGAGCTGCTGGTGTGGCCGTGTTGCTTTGGTAGCAGTGCTGCAGGCCGGTGGGACTTCAGACATGGAGACAATTGGCTCTGTTCACACTCCTGTGGGTGGCGAGGTGTTCTGCTGTAACAAGGGACACGCTGATCCTTTTTTCTCTTCCCCTACCTATTCTGATGGTTATTCTGTTACATGAACCAGTGCTCTTTTTTTAAATTTTCAATTCACAATCTGGTCCACGTGTCCTGGAAGATTAAAATCTCCTGGACATTGGAAATTCCAGTCAAATATAATCTGTTTATTGAGCTTAAAGGTCCAGTGTGCTACATTTAGACGGATCTATTAGCAGAAATTAAATATAATGGAATATAATATAATATGTAATATGTATAATATATAATATGTTTTCATTAGTGTATAATCACCTAAATATAAGAATTATTTTTATCTTCGAGTTGGTTTTTATCTACAAAGACAGTAGGTCCTCTTCTACGCAGTTCACAATGTTGAACCGCCATGATTCTGGGAGTACAACAGCAAGAGGAACCTGTTTTTTTTTTTTTTTTCCCCCACAGATTATCTGTCTAAAGTAGTCTGTGCGGCTGCTATCAAGGGATTTTATGTTATAAAATCTCCAGTTTTACCACTAAACAAGAAGTCAAGTTCACCATTAATCCGGCAAAGTCTGCAAAAACTGTGCGCTTCCCCCAGCAACACCTGTATGTGATGATAATTACTCTCCTTAAACAAGTCTCTCTCTCACATATGCCCTCAAGATGGATGCCGTGCTTGGTGTAAGTGAGACAAAAATTTGCATACAGGTGAAATGGCTCCTACACATTATAATCTTTTTATAAGACTCTACACGCCTACCAGCTCACTCATTGTAATTCACTCTGTATAAGAGTAGTCACTTGAATGCCTACAGTATAAATAATGTGTGCGAGGAAACCAGCACCACTACTGCTGGAGCCTTCTTTTTTCCCCAGCATTACTTAACTATGACCCAGTTCTGTGGACACTGCGGCAGTCTAGTTAACATTACACTGTTTCAGTCACATTTGCTGAAATGGTTTTTTACGCCGAATCAAGATGGATGTCATTTTGTACAAATTTGACACCTACGCTATCAGAATGATTGCTCGTGTCAAAGTTAAACAGGCACTATTAAATATTTTAGAAGTTGACAGTTGCTTACTGGAACAGTTTGGTTGGAGGCCTGAGCTAAGCATGAATTTTTATCTTAAGAGTTGAATATCGGGTAACAGAACCACGTATATCAACATGTTTCTTATTGAAATGTTTCATGTAGGTGTATGATAATGTGGTTTGGAAATCACCTCTCATGTTGCCCCTCAGGTAAAGTAGGTATCATTTGAATAGAAAGTGTTGAAACTCTCTTGGGAAGTGATTGTGAGGCAGCAGGGCAACCAAAGCCACTCTGTCACTGTCTCTTTATCAGGTTCTCTGCAAATGCATTGACCTATTTTTTTACATTGTGCTTGTCTGTGCGAGGGTTTACTCAGTTTTTGGAACTTGTGGTAGTTTTTTTTTTTTTGTTACACATTAATTAATTTAATACATTTTTACACATTAAACATGTAATATAATTCTATATCTATTCTATGTTCTGTAGGAGCACATCCTGCAGAAGCCCCGTGCCTACTACCGTTTCGACCAATCAGCAGAGCCCGACGTCTGGCTGGATGCCGTGCAGGTTTGGGAGGTGAAGTGCGCCGACCTGTCGCTGTCGCCCGTCTACCATGCTGCCATGGGAATGGTCAGTTCTGCGTGTTAATCCCCCCCCATGTGTTTCCACTGATAAATTCTGCTTGTTATGGTCTGTTGCCTGCAATGAAAAGTCACAATTAGTGCCTCTTAATTGAGTTATTAAAAATGCTGTAAAAGATGCTGGATTTAATGGAACAGATACTTGTTTATTACCCGTGGTTTGGCTGTATGCTGGACTCACAGTCCCACAGAGAACATTAAGTCTTTCCCATAACATAACAGTATACAACTCTCCTTTTAACAACAGTTGAAGTAAAGTGGCACTGAGATAGACGTATTCTGTTGGGATTATTTAAAACGAATCTGACTTTAAAGGTGTGAGGTGTTGTCAATAAACATTGCATATTACAACGTTACTTTTTAACACTTCAATTTGAGTAAGCTGGATGAGTTGTTGTAAACAAAGGAGACCCTGGCTAAGAGGATTAGTATTATCTACACGTTACATATCATCAAACGTCAGGTTAGTTTTGACAGGTAATTTGTCAGATTACTTTATGGCTTTAAATATGTAGCTGCAGCTTTTCCTTTTAATAGCTGGTGGAAACAATGGTCTAAGGCTTGAGAAGAACCTTCAGAAGGTTCAGAATTATGGCACATTTTTAGGACTACCAGTACCAATTGTCTACCAGTCATCACTGCTTTGTCACGGTGTTGCTATTAATATACCCAAATGACATTAGTCCCCACCTCTTAATTGAGGCTTAAACCTATCAGTGTATATGTATATACAATACCCCTAGTCCATACAAGCAAAATGAGCTATTAAACTCAGTTGTAACCCCTCTTTGTGTGTTGATGGTGATCCACATAACATGCAAGTTTGGTAGGGTTCCATTCTCCTTAATGGGGAAAGATACTGTAAAGAGTTCCCTAAATAGTTGCTAATGTTTTTACTGGTTATGATGTGTTTGTAGACTATTTACATTTTATTTGTTGACCCTTGACTCCCATGAAGTCAGAGCCAAAGTTGTTATGAGACTGTTTTAAGTAACTTAAAGGGTCTAAAAAATCATTCAGTTTCAGTTTTAAAAAAACTTGAGCTAATCAGGATTTAATAGATTTTGAAGTCTTACAGTCCAACAGTGTTTAACACATCTAGGAGTTACCATTTACAATGCAGTCCAAGTAACAAAGGACACTTGCTTACATGCATCAGTGGCTGTATACTGACTCTGATTCTGTCTGACATCAGGCGGATCCAGAAAAGGGCATTTCTCTGAGGTTCCCCCGCTTCCTTCGGATCAGAGATGACAAGAAGCCTGAGGACGCCACGACCGGAGCTCAGGTACATCACATCACCTGTACTGGGATGAGGCTGCTGGCAGGGTAGAAAAACAAGGGTGTCAAAGTGTAGTGAAGCACAGAATAACACACACTTTAAGCATCAGATACTATCTGTAGGACATGTGTGGAGGCCCAGGAGTGCAAACGGGGTCGACCTTGGGCAATATAATAATGACTGTAGACTAAAAAGAATTCAATCATACGTTTGTTTGGCCGTGTTACTTGAATGCGGCATCATCATCATCATGGTCACCTCACAAGATCCGTAAAAATTCAAGGGTGAAAGGCGTTGCAAGGACAATCCTCCTTTTTACACCGGCTTGAGTTTATGTAGTGGCCTCCCTCTGCACCACGAACAGAGCTGTATAACAGTCAGCAGCACCTCTAGAGTCCAGTGGTGGAGTCTGGGTAATATATTGGGAGGCAGCCAACAATGAATTATGTTGTACAGTAAAGATGTGTAGGTCAGCTGTACCTTCACCTGAATACACACATACTCAACTAAACCAACCACCAACACACCAGCCTGTGATTGTACAGTAGGACACATTAAACCTTGTTTTAGCTCTGTATATGAATGGACACCACATTCAGGACAGTGACAATACGTTTCTCCAAAGACATGAATGAAGTTTAAATGATTTGTTTTTATTCATTATAAAATTATGTTTACTTGCTATTCTCTGACCTGCCCGCTGACCCACCAGCACATCATTTATTTAGAATTCAACACAACAAACCTGAATAACAAGTCAATGCAACACATCCCGTCATGTAACTGACCTCTTCAAGTTCTCCTGAAATATAAAGACTGCAGTGACTGTAAACTCTCTACATATTGGAAGAGTTGAAACGATGAATAATTGGGGCTCCAACAAACAGCTGTTCATTCTCATCATTGATTAGCCTGACAATTAATTTTAAGAAAATCCTTTAGTCTATAAAATGTCTGAAAAATGTGGAAAATGTCCCTATTTTCTAAAGCCTAGTGCGACATCAAAGTGATTGCTATTTTCTGTAATGTAAGAAAAGAAAACCGCAACATTTTTGGAGAATAAAAATTACTTAACTGACCAAAAGATTATCAAAATAGTTATGTTAATTTGATACTGATTGATGTTTTCAGCTCTAAAAGTAATGAACAATTAAGTCAAAATTGCCAATCATTTGCTGCTTCCAGCTCCTTTCTCATTGTGAATTGAATATTGTTCAGTTTTTTGGGGGGGATAAAAGGCATCAAGTTGAATTCCATGAAGTTGTGACAGGCATTTTTCACATGTTTTTAACGTTTTATCGATTTTAAATTAGTCGTAAACATTATTATTATTATTATTAAAAAGTATAAAATGAATGGTAAGTTGCAGTCATATATATTACGTTGTTAAAGCTCTGGGTGGTAACAAACAGCTTGATGGTTTGTTTAATAATTATAATAATAATATATCAGTGAATCATTATTTCCTGTGCCAACATCTGGTCAGACTAAATAAGTAAGGATGCTTTTATATCTGTTTGTCACACAGAATCAAAGTCACTCTACGAATTTATCAGTAAAAAAAACACCAGCAGCCACACAAAAAGCTCTGCTTTGTAAGCCTGTTCACCGTCCACCACCGGCTACCATTCTGAAGTTTGATTCTCTACTAAAACTTTTAACACAGGCTCATCAGCATCAAGAGTTGCCCTGGATGTACAAACTCTGACTGACAACCAAACCCAAGCATTGATCAGGGTTGTGTAACATACAGAACAAATGTTTTACATTTTTATGAGGCTCAAAACTTCAAACTGAAGCCTGGCTCTTTCTTTTAACCTGAGCCTAAACCAGTGGAACTTTTTATAAGATTAGAATCATATTTCTAACGTGAATTTTCACTGACTTGAATTAAAGCCATCTGTTAACTGTGGAGTCTGGTGTTGTTCTCCGCTGGGACTCCGGTTGGAGCATCAGCTGCATTTAAAAGATACTTCTGCCAGTTATTATCTGCGAGGATGCGTACGCGCTCGCCATCACAACACATAGTTTCACATGGTGTGATTTATCGGACTATTTAAATGAAACCTGACATCATCTGAGTCGGAGGGAGTTTAGACAATGTGGAGCCTGCAGAGGTTGGTCCGTTTCAGGCTGAGAATCAAAGCTCTACCTTGATGCTGTGAAGCAGGAATAATGTGATGGCTCATTGTTTTCCTCCTCACTGTGCCACCCTGCTGCACTGGTACTGATACTGCTGATTCTGGGTGGGCCCGCTGTTCGCACATTATTCATTGTCCCGCCTTCCACCCCCTCACTCCCGAACCCCGATGAGCTCAAGTGAACACAACCTCTGTCTCCCAGTCAGCAGCTGGGAGTCACCGACTTCAAAGCCCGGGATATGAATAATCAAACTGTTATTTTTAGCTTTTCCTCTTCATGTTACTGACCTGACTTCATGATCTTCTCTCCCTCCCTCCTTCCCTCCTTCCTTCCCTCCTGCCTTCTCTCTTTCATGCATGCTCTCTCATGCCAACCCTCCCTCTCTTTTTTTCTCTCAATATCTCTCTCCCTCTGTTCATCTCTTCTGCTCTCTGCAGATTGCTGATTTGTACAAGAAGCAGCAGCAGATTCAGAATCAAGGGGAGAAAGCTGACCCGGAAGACTACTACTGATCATCTAGTAGTCATCAGCAGAGAATAATAAATATGGCAAAAATAATTGTAAATAGCATCTTCCTTTTTTGTAATGTTGAATGAAAATAAAGGCTCTTGCCAGTTTTAAGCATCCTGTATTTTGTGTTATTGATTGATCGACGCCGCTCCCTTACGGACTCCGATTTCCCTTTCAGAAGGAAAATTGCGTAAATAAAATAAGATAAGATAAGATATGCCTTTATTAGATATTAAATACTTCGCCGCATACGGTGCACACATAAATTCCAACAACCCAAATCGACTCAGCAAGTTACAGCATACCTGCTGGTAATAGATCCCTATCAAAGATTCACTGTGGAAAACCGCCCAGTAAAACATGAAATGTATGGGCAGCATACCAATACTTTTTGAGTTGGCCTGATTTCTGCTCGAGCACTCAAGGCGGCAGCGAAGTGCTTTCAGCGTGTCTGGTAATAAGAGGACAAGCCAAGGAGATTGCTGGCTGCCTGAAACGTTATTAGATGTAGAAATAGACGCGGGAGCTGACAGTTGCTCAAACAGCAGGACAAAGGAGAAGCACTCACAGCTTGCATTAGATGATGGAAATCCACTAACTGCTATCCAGCCTGAATCAATCAGAGACTGTTAGAGATGTGTGGAAGGGGGGGTCAGTTTGAGAGCCAAGGACGAGCGGTTATTACACGAGGAAGCAAAGAGGATTTTGAGAGTTTTCGGCATAGTGATGCCATGTGAGGGGACGTGAGTGTGCTTGGCGACCGAGATTGACCACTTCGCGTTTGCGATTTGTTTTTGCTTTCGTCTGCCTGAGCCGCAAGCAATTCAGAATCACATTAAATGCAAAGTAGGGTGAATGTGCAGGAAATATTTAGTTGACATTGAGACACAGCTCTAGAGACTGCTTGAGATTTTGAGGTATACATCATTCATTGGCAACGAAGCTGCATTTAAACATCCAAAGAACTGTTTGATTGCTGCACAAATACACTCTTATAACTGATCATCTTCAGCAGCGGTGCTCCACAGCCACACAATCCGCTCTAGGGATGGTAATGTTGGTTAGTCAGCCCACCATTTTGGTTCGGATTGAAATCGGACTATTGGATTGATTGCTATGGAATCTGGTACAGACATTTGTGTTGCCCGGAGGATGAATCATAATGACTTTTGTGTCACTGCACAAAAATAACGGCAAAATATCCCCTATACGACCGCTGCCATCATTTGCCATTCGGAGCCGGAGTCTGCGCAGTAATGAACGGGGGTTGGAGCCCCGGTACCAAGATCCCGCCCTTGCATCCACCTGACTCGATCGCAATCGGGGCTCAGCTGTCAAGCATGATGTGAAACCCCCTTTTTGTAGCATCAAATAACTCAAATTCAAACCAAATGTATCAGTAAAATTAACACTTGAACATACACCAGCGTCATAAGAACTACCTAAAATTTTCTTTGGAAAAAACTATTTGATGTGCTTCAGTTTTTCAGCTTGGCCCCATGTCCCATCTTCTAACAAACATAGAGGCAGCAGGCATTATGACCTATACTGCAATCAGCCACCAAGGGGCCATCGAGGTGTTTTGGAGACCTGTCATGTCATCCATCTTTGAGTAAAACCAGTTACATTCCCATCAGCCTCAGCTGTACTTAAGTTATAGATTGATGGCAAATGTTAGCATGCTAACATGGTAAACAAGGTGATGAACATGGTAAACACCTGCTGAACTACAGAATGTCAGCATCGTCACTGTTTGCGTGCTGACTGACCACTGTGCCTAAGCGCAGCCTCGCAGCCGCTAACACGACTAGGGATGTGTTCTAGGTGATCAGTGATGCATTGCTCCAGTGCAGTGGCAGGGACACAACGAGATGCAGGAAATAAATTGGAGGAATAAGTTGGAGGTCTGGGATTCTTGTGGCTGCAAGAAGGCATCAAGTGTGCAATTTTACAGAGCTCGTCTGTCTGTAAAGTTTTTCCAGTTCTCTGGTGACTCACGCTGCATGTGGCATACTATTGTCACTGTCTTCACATGCAGTTTTTTGTATTTCATATACTAGAGAGCTTTTGAGATCGCTGTTTGTTATGCTGTCTCCATATGCAAGTATTCATACTGCACAACTGGTGGTTTGCCTATTATTTGTGTGTGTGGGCTGTGTCCTGTGTCTGCTGGAGGGGAGTTTGAGAAGGATACCATTGTGGTCGAATAATCATGGAAATTGCCCTGAAAATGCCCTTTTCGTCTGCCTCTGTTGTTTTTCTGTACCATACTCTTTATTTTTCCATCAGTTTTCATTCACTGCCATCCATTAATGTGCTTCTCTTTGCTCTTTAAATATGTCTCTTCTCCTGCACACTTCGTTTGGGTACATCTGACACCCATCTTGAATATCATCTTCACATCTCGTGTATTTTTTGAATAGAAACAAGGGACTTGCTGGTGTTACTAAAATCTGAATTTCAAATAGCAGTTGTCATCTGTACTGTTGCTTTAGAAGTGGGCTTGAAACAGCAAGTGTGAGGGATGGAAAAGGCCCTAATGGAAATCAAACAGTCAGCAGAGCATGAAATATTGAAAATGCAAATATGTAATGAATTCAATTCCATATTGTGTGTGTGTGTGCTGTATGATCCTGGCTTTTGTTGTGAATTATTCTGAATGTTGACTACAGCAAGCATTGTCTCGGCCTAATTTGTATACGTGTGATTGTGTAAGTGGAGAGGAAGCGTGAAAGTCCCTGAATCCTTGCACACCGAGACTTTTCGGTATTTGTGTCCTCTTTTGTGCATGTGTGAATGGGGTTGTTTTTATCATCTCTGTGTGAAAATGTATGTGCCTGGCTAACTGCCCGTGTTTGTGTGTGTTTGTGTGTGTATATGTGTCACTGATGTTTACCGAGGGGGGCAGCTGGCGCACATCACACGCCTGCGGGGCATTGCAGCACAGCGGCCTCCATCTCCACCGAGGTCCTAGCCCATGTTCAAACAGCTGTGCTGTTAGTTCACATCAAGTCACCCATTCACACCGGGTCCCGCAGGGCAGGTTATGGTTGCAAACCTACCTGCTTGCCGCCTTGGTTCAACTGTGCTTTGCTACATGTTAAGAAGTGTCTTTGGGTTGTGGAGCATGATTTTAAAAAAAGAATGCCCCAGAACTGATCTCTGGTGTTGTGACGGATGAACGTCGAGCTGAAGATGACTCTTCTGTGCTGAAACGGTCCCTGATGTGTTCCTCTTTAAAGTTTTAGGAAGTGTCGCCTAAAGCAGGGTTATGGATTACTTCCAACTGCAAAATAAAAAAGAGGGGGGGCATCTATAAAAAAATGCCAGGTTTCACCTTTCTCTGTCCTTTTGTGCCCCTCTCTCTTCCCCCACCTCATTCTCCCACATAAGCTATCTGTCTTGTTCACAATACCCCTTTCTCCACCCCGAGAACAATGCGTTTGTTCTCCTCCACCTCCTCCTCCTCCCCATCCCTTCATCCCTTTCTATCCCTCCATCCATTTGTTTGGTGCTCTCTGTGACATCTCTGCCATGCCAGGCTATGAGGGAGAGAGGGAGGGACAGGCCCGGCCATTGTCCCCGGCCGAACCCACAGAATATCAATAGTGTTTTTCTTGAGCAGGAGCGCCGAGCGTTGGCCAGTAACCTTTCGGATTTGATGATGTCAGGCCCCTTCTTTTTTGGGCCCTTTATATGATTTCCTTCGCCCTCCAATCTCCACTTCAACAGCGTATTAGATCCTCAACATAAGAGACAGTACAGAATTGTATGCACTGTGTGACTCATCAGGGCACTTCATCAGCTCAGTTTAACCATTACAAGATGCGTGTGACTGTGCCAACAAGTCCTCCAAGTTAAATGAGAAAATACAGCATTTGTAAATACCCGCGAGAGTGCCGTCCTATTGGAAGGACATAATTTGGCAGTGCCTTGAAAAGCTGTTACAACTCATCATTATAAAAATGAATTGTCTGACTCTGCTATGGCTAAGCATTGGTTAGGTTTAGGCAAACGAGGCTACAGCCATGCTAGCTGCTCTGTGAAGCTGAACTTGGAGACAGCAAATGTTGGCATGCCAACATTTGGTAATTTGCACAAGTACAAGTACAGCTTAGAGGATGACGGGAATGTTGTGAGTCTTGCAGATATTTTGCCAGAAACCAAAGTACTGGACAAACTGAAATTGTGGTTGTGCTAGATGAAACGTTACAGGATCACAAAGTAGTAGGATTCATCCTCTTTGGACCATTGTACAACATGTCATGGCAATCCATCCAGTTTGTTGTTGAGATATTTCAATCTGGACCAAAGTGAAGGACCGACCAACGGTTATGCTGCTAGCAAGCCAAAAAAAAAAAGATTGTTGCTTTGGTTACAATAACTACTTGGTTAAGGAAGGCTCACGGTCATTTCTAAAAGAAACTCTATAACCTCACTGACTTCCAGAGACAGACAAGTCCTATTCCCTCGAAAATTTTGCCAGCTTTTTTGGGGATTGTTGCACCCTAAAATGTCTGAATTCACAGCAGCTTTTCTAATATATTGTGATGTGATGCCATTTTGCAACTTGTTCCAGGGAGAATAAAATCAGTCTGCAACTTCACAACTAGTAACAAGGATGTAAGTTTGGTGACACATGGCTCAACTTTTGCACAGAAATTCACAGCGATTGGTTGCACTGATTGTTGTGATTGGACCATCCTGGAGGGACTGCCTGATTCTTGCTCCAGGTCTTTGTCACTTGAAGATAAAAGTAACAACATAATTTCTGAGCATTTGCTGAAGTGACTGTCACATGTCGAAGGCGATCCCGTCTGAGCACATTTGGAACAAAAAAGAGACTGAATGTTACCGTGTTCATAAGCAGCCATGTTTCCTGCCACAAGCTTCTAAACTGTCAGTAAGCTTTTGCACACAACTGTCCTCTAAATTGGTCGTTGCCAACCTTTGTCTGTCAGACATGCTCTCACAGCTCTGTCAGGTGAACCATTTATTTCAGCCATTTATCTCTTACTTTTAGCTGCTTTAACTTCTGGTTTTCACAGCCTTGCACATGATGTTCGGGTGTTACAGTAGACTCAATATGAGGATATAGTATTTAATTCAAAGTGT